AATACAATAGAGTAACGATAAAAAATATATATATATTTACAATTCCAATTTAGCAATCTAAAATTGCATAATTGAAAAGGTGTCGAAAGGTTACCTTCATCTTGTTGGATACAAACATGTGCTGCTATTCAAATTGTGATATTATCTAAGACCACATGATTCATCTCAATCAAATATATGGTCTTCCATTATAGACATATGTATTGATACCTTCATCTTCTTGAAGCCTTTTTAAAGGCCAATTGTCAAGTTTCCTTTCGAAATTTTTAGTGTCAGGGTTCCTGTACCGTTCCCTAAAGGTCTCCAACTCACTCTCCTTCGCCGTCACCGTCGCTACTGCTAGCCTATCTAGTCAAGTCCAAAGCCGTAAGCTAAGCATTGTGGATGCTAAAGTAGTATTAGCATTTAAGGCTTCATGTCTAAGATAAGAGGCATCAACCATATGGATGAAGCCACGTTTCTCTTTATTCAACGACTTTCATTCACAATTTTTAATATAAAAGCTCACACTTAGTGCCATTTGGAGAGTAATACAAGTTTAGACTCTTAAGCTATAATTTTTTCGTATCACTATTTTATCTATTACTCCCTAAAGTCGACCCATTTTTATATTGGAGGTTCGCGTCTAAAGCTCTTCTATACTCATATATTTACTTCCCCAACTGACTTGATTGTTGGAGTGCGCGCAACTCACTCCACCCCCATCGGAGGAGGTCACATGTTTGTCTAAGTGTGCAAGAACGAGGCTTACGTGGACAAGAGACCTTGAGATCTATTGGCCACATTGAAGGTACATATTTTTGGGTCAACACATATCATGGAAGCAACTTCACCTATGCAAAATGTGAATAGATATACAGAAGGTCATCATTTTCTAACACAATACAATAAACATCATATTTACAAAAGTATTAGATCTCATCTGCATTGCTAGATTTTCTTAAAATAATGGCATGAAAAAATATAAGCAAAAGTATCAATATTTTCTACTTCTGAATTGGGAGCCTTCATTTTTAATTTACTGCATCTAAGACATACACCAACATTTAGGTTTTATTAACTTGCATGCTAATGAACTCTTTCCCTCAAGTTTTGTGACTCGAGTAACAAGAGCTCCACGCTAGGGCACAAAAGAACATCCCTCCATCGGACTGCTTTATCCCTTTGGTATCCCATTGGCTTACCCCGATGGTATTTGTATCGGTATCTCGTTTTGATAAACTTGCTTGCACATCTTGTCTTTGATTTGATACACTTAGAGTCCAGTGGCAAGATCAACATCTTTTATTGGCTTCTCTGTCCCCTGGTACAATATATCTTCTTTTATTTTTTTGTTTTTTCAAATAAAGACCTTTTTTGTCTTCTTGGGTAGTAGATTTGCCAACTCTATTGCTCTTAT